GCCCTGTGCCCTGTGTACAGTGGCACTGTCTAAACTCTCCTCCAAACACAATTATTAATTTCCCCCACTTGCATTTTGCAGATGTATTAATGTAGTCATTTCTTCAATGAAAGGGCATTATTACTTCCATTTTACAACCCAAGAAATTCAGGTGCAAAGAAATGAATGGGCCCTTGATTTTGAGGGTTCCCCTTGAGTTGTCATAAGCCTGATTTTTCAAAATACTTTGCATTATTGAGAGCTTCGTATATTCAGGCATAATTTTCCCACGTGAGCATTGAGCACTTGTGGATGTGGGATCCAAGGTCTCAAATGAGGCAGAGCTGAAGGACACGTCATCACTGTCGCGCTCTGTGATGAGGGCGATGGCACCAGTCCCGCGTAGCAGGGACGCCCAGGGAGCGGCTGGGAAGCACCGGCAGGACCGGCTGCTTTGGCCGGGGCTGCCACGTCCCGTGCGCGGCTCCCACTCCAGCAGCACCGCCCGTGCGGCCAGGAAGGAGCCACAGCCAGAGCTCCCCTTCTCCTGCGCCTCCTGGCTCAGCCCCTGGGCAGACCTGGGCAGGGGATGAATGGGCAAACCAGTGACCACGCGGTTGTGCAGCAACAGCGTGTACAGAAATAACTGCGCGTGGCAGTGTTAAACACCCTTAACAACAGGAATTGCTACGGACTCTAGTGACAGCAATAACATGTTAAAACTCCTGATCTGTTTCAGTGGAGGGTAAGAGCAAGTGGAATGAAGTATTCACTTACTTGTATTTTGGTAGAAATAAGAAAAAATGTTGGCAAAGCAAGTTAATTATAAAAAAAACAGGAAATTAAAGAGTATGAGCAGTATGAGATGCGGAGAGCCAGCAGAGCTGGGGCTGGGCAGGAGCACACAGGCAGCTCATGTCCTAGCGGTTGCTTTCTAATCCACACATCCCATTCGGTTCCTCTTTCCTCCAGGAGCGCAGTCGCTGCCTTAGCGCTTGAAAACGATGGCGTGGCCCGGTGTGCGGAGGTGCGGTGGGAGTCGCTGCACGGCGCCTGTCCCGAGGAGCCAGGCGCTTTCCCTGTGCTGTTTTTGGTCCCTCTCTTGAGGCCAAGTTGAGGTTGGCCCCATCCTTGCCCATCTGAGCGGCTGCGGCAGCCGGAAACACCCCTGCGCTACCCAGTCTGAGCGCAGGGGCTCCCCCTCTGTCCCAGGGGAGGCAGCACAGGCAACAGGGCCTCCTCGCATCCTCTCCTTGGGCTGAAGGGTTGTGAGCCAAACGAGCCAGCGGTCATTTGAGCTCGCCAGCCTCTGGTGGCAGCGTTTCTCCCAACAGTTTGCTGCTCCAGGAGAGCAAGGGCCTCGCCTCAGGTTGTTACACTTGGCGTTTGCAGGAACTGGCCAATGTCATGCCACGGCCTCGCTAGCAGCGCGTTCCTAGCGGCCGCTCGGCGCGCTGCCGCCCGGCGCGGCCCAGCGCAGCCCCAGTCCTGGCCCCAGGAGCGCTGCAGCCCCCTGCACAGCAGCGGCACCCGGCACTGCCTCTTGCTGAGCGCCTGCTCCTGGCGGCCCAGCCTGCAGCTGCAGGTTGAGCGTGTACCCCTCGCTATCAGGCAGGTCTGGCATGTGCCCCTCGCTATGGGGCATGTCCAGGCCGTGTGCCCTGCTATGGGGCATGTCCAGCGCGTGTCCCTTGCTATGGGACAGGTCTGGTGTGTGCCCCTTGCTGTGGGGCCACTCTGCGCTGCGGTGGGGAGCAGGGCAGCGGGCAGGCCCTGCCACACGCAGCCCCTCGCCGTGGCCCGCGGTCTGCGAGGAGCTGTGACGAATCCGTACACTGGCTGATAAAACAAATGTAGGTGATTTGTCTTTGTTCCGCTCCAGCTTAAGCATTACCATCCCCTGCCACTGGCAATTTGTCTTGGTTCCTTTAAATTCCTAAGTGGATTATAATTTTTCTCGTGGTACTATTTGACAACAGTCATTTTTCATGGCTTTAGTGCATTCTTCAGATAGATAGAATTTTTTTAAGGAAAGGAGCCCAGTAAGAGGCAGCCATCTCCAGGGCATGTCACATAGATGCAGATGCAGAAGACAAAGTAGCTGAGAACGTTCAGTGCATTTTAATGTAGTTTTTATCCTTGGAAAATACAGGAATTGACCTATGGTGGTTTACAGCATCTAAAGCATGTTATTACCCCCATGGCAGATGCAAATCCATTAAATAGTGTGGCTTGAGTAAATTCCTCAGTGCCTAATGTCTCTCAATGGCTCTGGAATACTCACCCTAAAATAACAGTGAATTCTGACTGTAATTAGGATGTTTTTGAGCTTTTCAGGCAGTAATAACCTAAAAAATATAGGTACACAACTCAGCTTTATTGCCTTTATCTGTACACACAGTTTCGTCTTGAAGTTTGTTTATATAAACCTAGGGGAACATTTCAGTATCAATTTATCCAGCTCCTAATATTTATTACATTATCATTATTAGGTTGTAGAAATATGACGTATCTAATTAGATTGGTAATGATTCTACTTAGGATAGGAATTACAGCACATAAGGAGAAAATAATGACACGTCGCAATATCAAAATAAACATTTCAGTCCGAAGAATGTTGTCAGGTGATGTCATACCATCTGTCCCACTGTACCCTGCTGGAAATGCTGCTGCAGCAGCATCTGGTACTTTGGCAAGCTCTGCAGACAACTGTAGTAGCTCTGCAGCTGCCTTAACTTTACTTTTATATTTAAGCAGCACGAAGACTTCCTGATTTGCTCCATGCTCCTAAAATATGATTTCTTTAACTGCTGAGTTCTGAGCAATTTATATGTTTTCCTGGTTTTCAAAATACGGTGCAGTGTGTAAATTTGTCTTGGGAATTTGCATTCACCAAGTTCTTAAAATGAAGCTCTTCCTCCTCTTCCCTCTGCAGTGACCTTTGAGCCCAGCAAAGAAACCCCTTTGGAGGGAGGACATTTCCTAGGCTTAGGAGAACTTGAAATCTCAGTTCTTTTCCAATAAAAATGTGGTTATTTGTGTGACCTGGAACAATTCCATCAGGAAAGAATGAGGAATAGAGTCCCAGAATAAATAATAACCCAGTAGCTAATGCGGAGATGTTTGCAGTGACAGGGGAAGAGGAGAGCGCTGCTTTGGAGCATCGCGGTTCCCTGGGCACAGCACAACTGCTGGGCGCTTCCCAGAAGGATATGGGGGTGCTGCGGAAGGAAAACGTTTCACTTTAGTTTTTCAGACTTGAATTTTAAGTGCTTGCTTCCCAGAGGGGAATTTTCATCATTCCCCTTGATAAACAGAGATGTCTTGGGCCCCACTGGTGACTCAGCCTGTGCGCGCAGCCCTCGCTGCCAGCACGAGCAGCTTCCCAGGAATGGCTGTCTCGGGCTCCCGGCAGTTCCTAGGAAGTTGGGAAGCGTCTGCCCTTCCCTTTGACTGGGTTTACAGAAGGCTCCTAGGGAAAACTGTATCTCACATATTGAGCATGTATGTGCTCACATATTATATGTATTGAGCTTAAGACTTGTTTGTGCAGACACCGTATCAAAGTGTAAAACTCTTCTCCTTTCAGGAGAATTAAAAAAAAAATGTCAGGAATAGACAACATAAACTCATTTTTGGCCACGTACTCAGATGAGTGTTCTCTGATGCTAAATTCAAGTTTCACTGTGCTGGATGATTTCAAATACATTTCAATTTAATCTTCTAAGCAGAGAAATCTAGCCAGTCCATTTTCTTTTCCCCAGAGTTTTGGACATCTGCTCGGGAAGACTCCACTTACACCGAAGGAAGGCTCTGAGTGGATGTCCAATTAATTTAGATTTGTCATTTCAATTTGTTCATTCTGCAGGTATATTGTAAACAAAATAGCTTAAATGAGGTCTGCTTTGGGGTTTTAAATATTTTATTTGTGCCTACCAGTTGGGAATTGCCCTTTATATACAGCATCTGTTCAATATGACTGGGTTTTCTGTGTTCACTGACTGCGTATCACTTTTCCTTTAATAGAGACAGCAAAATGTTTCGTGATGGGCATAGTTAAAACCCCAAATGTTCAGGCATGCCACGAGCAAGCTCCTTCTGTCTGCCCCACGATGCTGAGAGCTGCTGCCTGGCTAGTGCAGCTTCTTTGCTGTCAGTCCCTGCATGGTAATTTTAGGTGCTGAAAGGTGCTCCTGACTTGGAGAAATGGCAGCCCATAAAAGATCATATTGACGGCAGTTGGGGGCTGCCATGGACCTCCCTGGGCCTTGGATTTCACCCCAGAAAGGAAAAGGATTGCTTAGGTGATTGCAGTGCTTATGATTAGGTGCGATGGGATGAAGTTAAGAAATAAGGAAACTGAAGCTGAGCACATTTTGGCAGAGATACTCATCAATGAAACTAGCTCCCCAGGGAAGTGGTAAAAATGTGTTTCTTTAATATTACATGGGTCGAAACATTGGAGGACATACAGGAAGGAACAGCAACACAGTGTAACTGAATTCCAGCTATTGCAGTTCCAGGGATTAAAGGAAAATCTGTTCCATCTCTCGGAGTTAAGTGGCATTAGCGTGTGTGATTCAGTGTTTTGTTCTTTTAAATGGGAGCTGCAGCGATGCGGGGTCTTGGGCACTAGCAGAAATTCAGAGAGAGGCAGAAATCGGCTTTCCTCTTGACCGTATTGATCTTGTGATGTTCTGCGAAGGGCACTTCATCACCTCCCTGCCACTGGGTCTTTGAGTGTAAATTACTCCCTTGAAGATGTCCATGTTGTGTGGCTGGCAGGGGGGACGCCGCCTTCGTGACGCTGACCCTTGTTCACTCGGGGCTTGTGCCACAATCCCTGAAGTTGTTTGTGGAAATCGTGCTACAGATCATCGTGGTCCCTGGAGTAACGTGCGAGTCGCTCAACCCAGGAAAGCTGCTTCTGCAGCAGCGGTGCACAGACCTGCCCTCAACAAATGCCTGCTCTTTCTGCACAGCTCTGATTTTCCTGTTTGTTGTTTGTTTTTCCCTTGCAGTACAATAAACACCTCTTCGTACACATTGGACATGCAAACCATTCTTACAGTGACCCATTGCTTGAGTCGGTGGACATTCGTCAGATTTACGACAAATTTCCTGAAAAGAAGGGTGGCCTAAAGGAATTGTTTGGAAAGGGGCCACAAAACGCTTTCTTCCTCGTAAAATTTTGGGTGAGTAAGACATTGAGATGTAGAAACTCTTGTTGGTCAGGCCCATGCTTGGCCTTTGGCACCCTTTAGTGCACTCAAGGACGTTTTCTTGCATCGCTTAGAAGAGCAAAGCTGTCTATGCTCCGAGCGGGACGTCAGCCTGAAGCCACTCCTGTCTGCGCTGCAGACAACCTCCACGGGAGGCGCGGGCCGGAGCGGCCTGTTAGGAGCAAACAGATAAAGTGGGTGCCTGTTTGGAGATGGTGAACTGCCATCTAGCGGTCTGAGGCAAGACAGGAGAAGCCACTTACGTGGAGAATTTGAAGTATTTTTGTGTTTCAAATGTTGGCCCATTGATGAATGCAAATAATACAAATATGACTCCTGACATCAGCCCACGCTGACACAGCAGGTACCAAGCTATGTTTGAACCCCATGGTCTGCTGTAAGATTGCAAGCTTGAGAGAGTTCCAGGACTTCCATAACAGTTTTGGTTGCTGGGATGCATCTGCTTTCCTCTTGCCTCCTTGGGAGCCAGTCACGTGACTAAGCTTCAAAAGTAAAACCTGCTCATGAAGAAAAAGTTTGAGTGGAAGGCCGAGACGTTAAAAAATGTGCTGATCTAGTTTGGATGAATTTCTTTAATACATCAGATCTCCTTGGTTGCATTTACAAAACCCCACGTTGGTGATACTACAGGTTCATCCAAAAAGATCGTCAAATCTCTTGGGTAGACCTTACGCTCACAGTGATGCTTTTTCTACATATGCACTTGGGGTTTTGTGCTCTGCTCGTTTTCATTCCTACAGTTATCATCGGAGCATTTAAAATGCTTTTCCAGTGCTTGTCTTTCAAAGCCACATCAAAAGGGGCATATTCAGGATCTAAGCACAGAAAAGGTTGATCTGGAGTCATTGATTATTACTAGGTTTTCTGGTTGTCATTTTCAATCAAAGCTGACCTACCTGGCCTGAAATACTCTAGATCTTATACATACCTCAGGATTCCTGTCTTACCAAAAGGCTTCTGTGGCACCAGATATGGGAATAGAGAATGAAGGAGAGGTATTTTTCAAATGTGTTTTTAGAAGGGATAAACCCTGAGCAGGAGGAGTGCTAAACTGCATAAGAAATCCATTGGAAAATTCCCACGACATAAAACTCGGGAAGAGAGTTGTAGACCAAACACGTGAGGGCTGGCTGAGTGTAGGCCAGGAACAGGAGGTAGCAGAGAACTGCAAACAGAAGGCAGATAGGAACAGAGTGAGAAAGAGGGAGGGTGAATTTGGGATGAGGAGCCTGTGAGAGACAGAGAGGCACAGAGGAGGGAGTATGCGAGAGGGGGGAACGGGACAAGCACAAGGGCAGAAGAAATCCCGCTGTGGAGGAACATGCTTAGAGGTAAGGTCTGTGACCACTAAGTCAGTTTCCTTGCAAAGCTTAGGCTTGAGCTCACGGACCCTCATCTCACCAGTACCCTGAGGAGTAAGTATCTCCCTGAGAAGTAAGTAGTGAAAGCCACTAGCAAAAAGAACGTGGTTTTGCCGCTTAGCTCACACCGGGAACGACAGGCGATGACAAGCCCCAGGCTTCATCCTGGCCCACGCAGCAGCAGAGCCGTGCGACAGTCATTGACGTACGTGCAGGTTCTGCTTTTCCTGCATGTGGAAACTGATTTTCAGATATGCTGAGATGTATCAGATATGCTCAAAGATGTATCTAAAGCCAGTAAAGATCTTTGGAACATGAAGGTCTATGTCATATTCATGACTTTGAAAACTTAATTACAAGGCTTCTCTGATGATCACCTACAAGCAGCGAACACCTTTAATCCTCTCACCTCAGCTCCCCAGATGTAACATGGACAGGTCTGATAACCACCCACCTCAAACTCAATGACATCTGTAAAAAGGGAAGATAATGCCATGAAGAAAAGACCTCCAGTGGTCACTGAGAAAACAAACTCAATGATATCTGTTAAAAGGGAAGATAATGCCATGAAGAAAATGTTTGTAAAAATAGCAGTTCTATGTTCAGTGTGGGTTTTGAGCAGTGTGCAGGATATAAGGACTGTACCACGCTGATGAATACTGAGTAGATGCTCAGTGGGTGAGTGTGCAGTCACGTAACTAAAGACTCATAATGCAGTTCCACTGCCAGGATGCAGTAAGCGGTACAAGCAACTTAAATCCAACGGTTCCTAACTTCGCCTGTGCCTTGCAGACTTAATGGTCTTTTAATTGAATTTGGGGTCTGCAGTAACTGAGAGATTGAAAAACATATAGTGCTAACATCCTTCTGAATTAGGCATTAAAAATGTGGTGAGCGTGCCTTCCTGAGCCAGGGCCTCGGAGCAGGTTAGCTCCGAGGTTCCCTCTCATAGTTTGAGCAAAGGCCGGAGGGAGGAGCACAGGGCAGTGCTGTCTGTGTGAGAAGAGTCATGATGAATGTCCTGCTAAGAACAAAGTTCACACCAGGGCCCCCAGCTAGAAATATATATATATGTAGGAAAAACAGAAGATGGCTGTCATGAGAGTTAGATCCTAAATTGTCAACTCACTGTCCTTTGCTTAATATCTTTTGTGCTAATAGGATATTTCTTCAGAGAGAAAAAAAATGAAAAAGGTACTTTGCCATTTTTATGGAGAATCTTTGGAAATTATTCTAGAGCAGTCTCATTTTACCAGAGTAGAACTGGCAAAGGTTATTGACTCCTTTTTGACCTCTCTAGGAACACTGGGTTTATTAGTGCAAAAATAGAGTAGATTTTTTTGTAGTCTTGTTCTTTTATTTTAAATTCAGTATCTGCTTCTGAATCAGTAACCATTCTCCAACTCCACCCACTCTAAATGACACAACTTTTCCCAGGTTCTGTCCATGTAGTATGGTTCTTGCTTATTTGCAACACTCTCACCCTTTATATAGCTCTTTCACATTTCCCATTGTTTCTGTTGCCTTCTACCTCATCTTCTTCATTATCATGTAACCCCCAATAGTTTCCCCAGTGCGGCAACCTACTGAGTATCGCTGAGCAGCTGCTAGTCAGCCAAGTCCAAGCTTTGGTGTAACATGATAGTAATGTGAGTAAAAGAGAAATAGGATTTTGTGTTGGGCAAAGTACAGGTGGGAAAGCACTGCAAGGAGAATCAAGAGAAGAAAACCAGGGGCTCAGAACGAGAGGATTAGAGGGAAACCACAGCAGAAACACAGGCAGGTGCTGCGGCATGTGGCACCCTGAAAGTGAAGGATTTGATGCCTGAAGTGATGACAAGCCTGTAAAAGGATCTGAAGTCAGCACATCCCTGTAGGTGGCAAAAAGCATATTTCATTTAGTCATTAAGTCTAGTACTAAAAGGAAGGATGGGGAGCGGGAAGCCCCGAGAGGCGAATTCACGCTGAGAATGACCTAAGGCAGCAAGCAGCTTAGCTCTGGTAGCTGGAGGGGATGCTCCTCTGTCTCTTTCCCATTTAGCTTCACCTGAGGCTTGTCAGCAGAATTGTTTCCTTTTGGTTTTCCCTGTGATAATGGTTGTAAGATTTGATTACAAAAAAAGGGAGAGGACAGGGCTGAAATGTTGCAAGGAGACGTTTGGCAATTGTGGCGTTTGCAAAGCATTAAAGGTACTGAGTACAAAGCAGTGCCTTGTTTTGCTTTGCAGAGGTTTATTGGTTCATATGGATTTTATCTCCTGTGAAATACAGCCTGATGCTGTGAATAGATGAGCTCCTGGCCTCAATCCTGGTGACACATCCGGATGTCACACTTGCCGGCCTCTTCCTACCTGTCCATGCAGGAGGTGTAAAAGGAAAAGCTTCTCTGCCATTACTTTGGCATACATCTGACTCTGGCAAGGTAACTGCTCTACAGGCAAAATTAGGACCATATCTTCTTTTTATAACCCTGCTGTCTTTGCCATTTTTATCCCTTTCTAGTACTAGACTAGTACTAGTTAATCTAGCAACCAATTTTTACTATAAGATCACCTTCAACATTAATCGATCAGTGAATATATGTCTCTAATACAGCCCAGACCAAGTTCTTTCCTGTTCTGCTCTGGTTGTGAATGCTGCGACAGGGCTTCTCTTCTCTCCTGCCTGCCCTGCGGGGCGCCCTGTGCCCGCGCGCGGAGCCCCCAGCCTCGGGCGGGCTCTGCAGCACGGGCGGCGCAGGGCGGGCAGTAACGTGGCCGCGGATTCTGCGCCGAGTCTGAACGCTACCTTCTGCTGCTGCAGGAACAGGCATGGGGAGCAAAGAAATCTGAGAGGAGGAGACATCTTTTCTAATTAGTGATTCAGGAAGAAAAGAGTTGAAATAAGCTAAGATTGGGCTTTCCTACTGATCCGATCCACTGGCTTAATTTTAAATGCTTGCAATAGCTCGAAATATCCTTCAAGCTGATGCAAGCTTAGTCGGAGCTCAGTACAAGTCTGAAACAGAGACCAAAACTTATCTGAGGATGCACGGATGATATGAATTGATGTTTAAAATTAATGCCTCAATTTGCAGGAATCTGCAATGCAAACTAGGAGTTTTAGAAAGTATTGCATATTATAATTAGGGCAAGTGTTTAAAGATGCTTTGAAGTCCTAAACATTTTTGAAATTCAAATGTAGAGTAGAAATAAAGGAATCTACACAATAAAGGGACATTAAATTGTGTCCCCCAAAATTTCACTGTTTTATAGATGTAAATATATGCCATAATTAGTGGTAAGTAACATGAGGAGGATGGTTACGTTTATTCCTATTCTTATTCAAAACAGCTGTGGCATGAAAAATAATTCTTCTTCTCTTTGTGATACATTGGAACAAACAATTTACCCATGTAATCAGTGCTCAGCAATGGCTTGTGCCTCTGGTCTGCTCCCACCCCCTCTGCATTTATCCCCATGTGCCTCAAGCAGTCTGGAAAGGTGCAGCGACTCTTTGTGCTCTTCAGTCACGCACACGCACAACTGCCTGCTGCCCTTTTCCGTTTGCGTGTGATTGATATTGCACAATGCAGAAGCTCGGATTTCGCACACACGCACACACACATGCACACACTTGCCAGCTTTGACTGGCAAATGATCCGCGCCTCGCCAGCGGGCGCTGCAGTGTGCATGGCTCTTTGGCCAGCAATGCAAATGTATGCAAAACAAATTAGATACGGACAAAAGCATCCCCCGTCTCCCTCCCCTCTGCCCGGCGCGGGGAGCTCTGTGGCCTGAGCCGGGCCGGGGCTCAGTGCTGCAGAATGGCTAATGAGCGGGCGCAGAGCAGCTGGGCCGGCAGCGCAGCCTGGCCTGTCCATCACGGGCCCAACCATGTGGCAGCCTGGAAGCAATTCCAAAGCTGCAGCGTAACCATCAGTGAGCTCTGCCAAGGATCCAGATGCTCCTGCTGGAAAAAATTGCTTCACAATTTGGAATCTCTGCTCTTTGATCACCCTTGTAGAGGAGGAGGGGAGGCACGATGTGGTCGCATGAGTAACACACCTCCCCGCAGTCAGCAGCAGTTAAAACCTGCATGTTGTTAACAAATGACCTTATGTGCTTAATGTTAACTACTGCATGCTAGTGTAAATTGCCCTGGCCCTCCCAAACCCCGCGCTGCTCCCCAAGGTTGCTGTGTCCCCTCGGAGCAGCAGGAAGAACCTTCTTAGCAGGTTTTGCTTGTGTTGCTTCTTCTGTCAGGCAGCAGCGTTACAGCCCCTGCCGCCCGCTCTGCCGGCAGCCGGCGTGCTGCCCTGCGCCCCGCGCTGCTGCCAGGGCTGGCTCCGGCACCCTGGCAGAGGCTGCTCCATGCACTTGAGATTCCTCCCATGTCACATTTTCAGGGCTACACACGGCAAGCTATGCTGTATTAATGAATTAATCACTGGGGAAAGGGTGCCAGAAAGCTGAGTGGCTCCCCCGCTTCCAAATGGATTCAGCTTATAAAGCTCCGCTCTCAGAAATAAATCAAGACTAGAATTTTACTTATGAAATCCCTCCCCACATGTAAAAAAAGGAATTCCATCTGTGTTTTATAGGTTTGGGATTCTTTTCCTAGATTATAGTTATCTTACATTTTAAAAATCAGTGAGAAAATAGGCTGCTGCTCATCAAATGTGATCACACCATCATTTGAGTAGTTATTTATCTGTATGTGCTACACTAGTGCCTACCCCCCCAGCACTGTGGGTCACCACATTGCACTAGACACCCTATGCACAGGAGGAAAAACAGTTTGCAGCCCCACGAGACAGTGCTATGTCTAAAATGGGAGATAACAGACACAGCCAGAAGGACAGCTCAAGGAAATAAAGAGGCCAAGTTGGGTAGTATGAGAGACCACCAGCGCAGCACACGAGAGGCTTGACTGTTATCAAGGTTTTTCATAGTAACGTTGAAAAAGAAAATTGTAAGGAGAGTTAACTGAGGTTAGTTAGATAAATTGACAGATTTCAGTTTTGGAATGGATTGTGTTTAGCTAGCCTTGCCTCCTGTGTAACACAAGCAGTGAAGCCCTGCCGCAGGGACAGGAAGGCCTCTTGAAGTGGAGCCCTCCTGCTGGATAGATGTTAAGCTGGCTGAGGAAGGCCCAAGCGTTGGGGATGCCTCCACACTTCCAAGTTACCCCCAACAGGCCGCTGTCAGGGACGGGTTTCGGCTTCTGCCTTGGGTCTCCTTTAGCTCTGGCCCAGCGTTACCGTTCTGCCATGTCCTTTCCTGCTAGATTTAATCTATCAGAAGGCTTTTCTCCATGTAGCAACTTGTAGGCTATGACAAAGTCGTGGAAAATCTTCCCTTGGAAAAACTAAATAGGTGGAGTTTCATTAGTCATTCACTACAAAGGATGTTTTCCAGACCTGAAATCATTCTTGTAACTCTCTTCTGAACCCCTTCCAATTTTCCAACATCGCTTCTAAAATGTAGACACAAAAACTGGAGTCATAGTAGCAATAGGCTTGCTAAAACCAAACACAGAGGTACCACATCACCTTCTTCCTGCTCAAATTTGCATCTATAACTCATAGCCACAGAGCTGCCTCTTCAGAGCACAGCCCCATTTTTTTGGTAGAGTCGTCATCTTTCAGGATAAAAAAAAAAAAGCCCCCAAAATCTGTGACTCACTTTTTGGTTCTAGAGATACAACTTCACCTTCAGGTTTGTTTAAATGAACCCCTTACTCTGTAAGCCACAGCAATGTATTTCTGCATCATCATCATCATCATGATCACCAAACATTTGCCCCAAAATTTGTATTTTGTGCTAAGTGGTTTTCTTTCCTTCCTTAAGAAGGGTTTTCAGCACTTCTTCCTAGTGTTGTACTCGGCCTTTAATGAAACAATCTGTATTCAGATTGAGAGACAAAGTTTGTTTTGATATGGGAGGACAATATTCATGCACTGTTAGGAGAGTTTTGGTCACACATTCATTTAAGAGTATTTGCTGTTGCCAACACTTATAATTTTTATGACCATGTTATATTTTCAGGAGGAGTCTTAAAGCTTCAGCTCTCAGCTGAAATATTGCTTATGAAAAAAAAAAATCTCTTTAATTGTTGTTTTTGCATCTTGAAATGAAGAGGTCTATGCAGCTCACTCTTTTGACAGCATGTGAGTGTTTGTGAGGAGTATTTTAGTAACAAAGTCTTAACTATTTTGCCGTTAGTTGAAAAAAATACTTTGCCACTAAAATCATAGTTGTGGTAGCAGCAGAAATAATTGATCTTTAAAAGGTTATTACTATCATTCACAAAAATAGAGGTATTTTATCAGAAACGCCTGTTCTTGGGGAATTCCATCGGAGCAGCTGTGGCATAGCTGATGGCTGCTCCTGGTTTTTAAGTTCATATGTAATTGCAAACTGTCTGTGATGGCAAATTGCTGATTTGCGCTTAGCTCAGAATGGTTTCTCATGGGTCACTGTGAATACACTGCTTTAAATGTACATTTAATATTTAGCTATTGGCCTCATAAAAATGTGCAAGAAACAAAGTGTAATAGCAACAGGATTTTTTTTTCTGTTACCTAAAATATGTGACTGCAGCCTTGTGTGTGTTACTGTGTGTAAGCCTCGGGAGCCTTTTCCACTGATTAATTTACCAACCCCAGCCTAAAGCAGTATCAATCAGACCTATGATTTCTCCCTACCACAGACTAGCTCATACACTATTCTCAGCATACTGCTTGAAAACATAATGCTAGAAAAATAGGCTGTAGACATAAAGTAGGATTAATGAGTTGTTGCCTAGGTAAAATTGAACAGTAGTTACAAATGGCCTGATATATAGTGAAATAAGGATTATAAAAGGCCGTTGTTTCTAAATTCCACTATTAAGTAAGCATACTGGGCTTTAAAAAAAGTCTCCATGTAAGAAAAGATATGTGAAAATTTCTTATGTTACATCTCTGTATTGGCAATAAGAACAAAGAGCTAAAACCACAAGTGAAACAGCTGCTAAGATGCATTTCCCTGTTAAAATGCTCATCTGAAAGTAAGTTAAGAATGCAGGTGACTTATATTCTTTACAGTAGTTGATCTGTTATTTCCTCCCAAAAAAACAGGAAAATATCACCAAAAAATCCAGCTGTGGGTAGCCATTAGCTTGTCTGTCTCTGTATCAGGGCTGTCTTCATTGAGGGCTTCTGAAAATGGATTCATGATTGAAGCAGAAGGCGGTGGGAGAAGCGCGTTGCGGCTGCGGAGGCAGAATTCAGCCCCGCGCTGCGAGCAGGGCCTGCTGTGCGCAGGGCTCCCACAGAGATAACTGGAGGTGCTGCTGCTGTGCCTCATGCAGCCCAGCAAATCTGCTTCTGTGGTGCCAGGTACCAGAGGCAGGGGGTAGTTCTTCAGCCTGCGGAGCACTATTCAGAAAGAGGAACACGCTCAGAAACGATGCACGGCCCCAGCTCACTAAGCACACAGCTAACGGGGAGCCCTGAGTGGTGTCGTAAGCTCAGTGAAGTTCAACTATGTTGCTGAATCAGGGCCATATGGCTTAACAGTCTTTTATCAGCCACTGATTCCTGCGCTGCTCAGCTGTCTGCCTTTGTAGTGATGATTTCATTGATTTAAGAAAGAAAAATAAAGTGAAATATGGGCCGCACAGGAGGAGGGTAGTCCTGGTCTACTCAAGGCATCAGGACAGCTTCCTCTAGAGGAGCCATCACTGGAGCACATAATCATTCCCTTCCCTCAGTGAGTTCATCACTGAGCTGCTAGGCAGGAACTTCGCATGTAGCAAAGACAAATAGTGTGGTGCCTTTTTGCGGTTTAAATTTTGAGGAAATTGTCACTTCCTTTTTTTTGTTGTTTTTTAATTGCAACATTAATGTGGGTATTTTCTTTGAGACGTTTTTCACTGCCATTGCTGTCTCTATAAAACTCCCTCTCTCTTCCCCTGTGTTAATTCTGGAAAGACTGGTGAGCTAATCACAACTTATGACACTGACAGTCAAATGAAGAATATCATCTTCAACATGTTATCTTTTCCCAACAGGCTGATTTAAACTGCAACATTCAAGATGATACAGGAGCATTTTATGGAGTCACTAGTCAGTATGAGAGCTCAGAAAATATGACAATCACCTGTTCCACCAAAGTCTGCTCATTTGGAAAGCAAGTAGTAGAAAAAGTAGAGGTGAGTCTTGCGATGGCTTTGAGTCCCTCTTTTAACTCCAGACAGGGCACTTCTGCTACACCAGTGGCACTGTGAAATGGACAGTGATTCCCTGGTTCCCTTTGTTTTTTTTTTTTAGGCTCTCTTTCCATTGCTCTTATCTGTCTTTTCCTTCCCTCCTGTAATCCTTCGCACAGGAATATTTTTTTCCTTCCCGGCAGCATTTGGGTATAAGTCCCCATGTGTCTAACAACACTACTGAAAGTAAAATGCTGGCTGCCTGCTGCTCCAGAGCCCCTCTGCCCTGCTCAGCACCCGCCTTCTGGGCAGCCTGCAGCCTCCTCCAGCACCTGGCAGAACGATGCCAAGGCAAAAATGCTCTGCGCTCCTTTCCAGTGGTCTGGCTAGCTGTGTGCACACAACCTGCGTGCAACTGTACTGAGGTGGTAAACTGCCCCCTATGATCTAAACTTTTAAAAATATTTTAAAGGTATGGATGGTATATGCTCCATTTCTCTTCATGCTCATTTTATGCACAGAAATGCACACTCTCCACAGTTGCCAGCAGCTTTTGGATACAAAGATGTGTGTTTTTTAACATACCAGGGCCTTTTTTTTTTCCCCCTCCTCCCTTTTCCTCTTAGCACAGAACTGTATGAATTGCAAAGGTAAGTATTTGGTTTACTGCACTATGATGCTGCAGCTATTATACTTGTCCTTGGTGTAATGAGCCTCACGTGATACCAACAGTGCAGTTTTTGTACAGGCACTTTTAGCCTACAGCTCTACAATAAGTATTTGTAGATAATCTTGGTCACTTTGCATGTCCTCCTTATAGAAAGCATAGTTCTTTAAGCATAAAGAAGCTTTCCAGGATTTTGATTATTCCAAGCTTAGATGAAGCCAAGAAATCCCACAAGCCTCTGGGCGTTGGCATCTGCACAGCTGAAGTCCAAGAAATCACTACCTGATGCACCTTCAGTCCCTTGTGAGCTACAGCACTATAGACCAGTCTATGCTTCTTCCAGCTGTAGCCTTTCCTCCTTTACAGTCTTTCCTTTGTAATTCATAAATTTCCTATAATAATATAGCAGTGTTTATAAACACGCACAGTCTCAGATAAATATATAAGCTTATTTTGGCTATTTCCTTTGCAGCTGGCTGCCTGTAGTTGCTAATTTTATCACAAAGTTTTCAAATTAATTCATTGTTACTTGGTTTGAACTTACCATGTATAACCCTCACCTCAGTTGTTGATTCACAAGCTAGGAAACAAGCAGTGAGCTTATACCTTTTACTGTTTAGCCAGGCACTGCACAGGTGGGGGGTGAGCATGGTGCCTTCCTAGGCAGGGCTGCAGAAGGGAACTCGGCGAGGCTTCAGACTCGCTTCCGCTGTGTTCAGTCTATGCAAACAAAACTGCCAGATTTAGCATTTCCTAGAATCATTCAAAAGTGTCTTAGCCCTTTTTTTTTTGTTTTTCAGACTGAATATGCAAGGTTTGAGAATGGCCGATTTGTGTACAGAATAAACCGCTCTCCAATGTGTGAATATATGATCAACTTCATACACAAGCTGAAGCATTTACCAGAGAAATACATGATGAACAGTGTGTTGGAAAATTTTACAATTTTATTGGTATGGACTCTTTTATTTTCCACTTCTAAAACAAACACACTCATGCTTTGTATGGCTTGCTTAACTCACAATATTTAGAAGTAGTTTCTGAATCCCTTAGTCATATTGCTTACTAAACATATCATACCAGTGACTTCTGGGTAATATTCTTGGAATTTTGTACGACAGAAACTAAGAATGAAAATGATAAAGCTGGGAGAGAACATGAACAAACATCTGTGTCACTTTCCAGAAATTCAGCTTGTTTCTCATTTCTTTTTTTGTTTGTTTTTTTAATGCAAGTCTCTGTTTGGTGTTTGCAGTGAGCCCAAGGCAGTAACTTTGAACCATCCCATCCATCTAATGAGTGAGAAGCCACTTGTAAGACTGCAGATGTCAGTGGTGTTAATTAGTTCTCTTGGTGGCCCAGGGAGAGCAGGCAGCAATGGCACACTGTCCCCCTTAGCAGGGGATCCAAGCACGAGGAATGGGCCTCGCAGCAGCCTTTATGGCAAGGTCATCCTGCTGTGCAGCATTTCACTGTGCCTTTTATGTGGCCCCGGCCAAGCACTTCGAGCCATGGGATGCTGCTGCCCCCAGAGTGTGGAGGCAGCGCGAGGGCAGGGAGCAGAGTGCCCTGCAGGCCCTGCAGGAAGGGGCTCACGACAGCAAGGGGTGGGCAGCACGGTCAGGGCTCAACCTCTGTGTCTGTCGAGGCCCGTGGTGCCTCTGGCCACGCTCGCAGGGCACGCAGGGATGGCCCCTGCACCCGAGCGGAGCCCCTGGGAGTGCGCAGGCCCCAAGTGCAGCTAAATCACCACGGAGAGAGAGCGCGTCTCAAACAGCCGCCTCCGAACGCTGCCTAAACATAACCAGGCATTTCTCGCTTTGCCCAGGCAGTTTCTAACCCACGCTGTCCACCTCTTCTTTCCCCTCCAACAGGTTGTAACAAACAGGGACACACAAGAAACCCTACTCTGCATGGCTTGTGTATTTGAAGTGTCCAACAGTGAACACGGAGCACAGCATCATATCTACAGGCTTGTAAAGGACTGAGCAGTTATTTATATATACACTTCATTTCACGTCTTTATCAAAACACAGACTGTAAACCTCAACACTAAGTGGCAGTGCCTCTGGCCCAACTTTCACCCACATTTTTCTAAATCCTGTTTTAGTGAAGTCATTTTTAATGTGTTCATATATAATTGTAGCTGTGAAATTCTGGTACAGTTGTAAAAATTATTTCTAAAACTAAGTGTTCTTCAAATTTGTAAACCACAGTTCTTTGGGAAGACTGTATTTAAGAACCTAATACCTCTGTCTGTGGAGGCCTATTTTTAATTCTGATAGAAAAATGTATGACAGAGCATTTGCCATGGGAAAAAACTGACAGCATTTATAAGAATTTATTTTGGGTTTTTTTTTCCAACATAAAAGACTTTGTTTTATGATGCAAGTGAAATTGAAATGAATCTTTAGCTATAACTGTAAATGAGTACACAAAGTTAATAATCTTTATAGAATTATCTTTGTAACTAATTAGGGTGGAAGATACGGACGAATGTAACTCACTAAATTATTTTTTAAAATGAAGCATTCTTCTGTTTGAAACCAAATGAAAAACATAGCCTTAAGAAATGCCTGATAGAAGAAGACAGGTCCTGAAATTAATTAGGCAAATTTTGTATTTTTTTCTCAATGCTAAAACTAATCTTCTAATCCATTAAACTTTCAAACAGATGTTGCAGAGAAAGAAAACGTCATCCCTTATCCCTAACATATCTAGTGTATTGTAAAAGAATATAAATTGTATTGTACTAATATGAAAATTTGATTATTTAATGAAAAAGATGGTTCATTTTGCAATAAGTAGGCAAATACTGAAGATTTAGACTCGCATTATATGTAGTCTTGTGTGCGCAGTTATATTTTATACGGACAATTATGTTTTCTAGTAAATTGAGTGAAAAACTTGCAACTCTGAAATTAGCAAAGGAACAGAAATGACAGGACTGTAACTTGCAAACTGAAAGCAAAACACAAATGTGCTTGAGAGAAGAACGCATATGCCTCTGAAAGGATCAACGGCTTTAATATCTGTGAGATGCTAGAAATCACACCCAGCATCAGGCAAAACAATTTGGAAAGTGGGTGTTTTTTCCTCCTTCTGCTCTTTATTCATGGTGCTCTAACCCCTCACCCGAGTTCTCTCCAGCTCACACAGAGCTGACACGCTTGGTACTGGCAAAAGCCTTCTAGGACTACGTATTTGTACCACGTGGGGTCTGATGTCTTTTTGAATGCAGATGTGGTAGTAATGCTCCTTCTGATAAATCAGGGAAGACTCCAGGAACTGAAAAACAGCTGGAGATATTTTAATACTGTCAGAACTCAAAATGTGCATGTGGATGTGAGTGAACCTGAGGTACGCGTGTGTGAGCTAAGTCTTCTCTTTTCTGCTGGCTCGGCTAGTTACTGCTACTCAGCTTCTCTCCTTCTGCTGCACGCGCAGCGCTGGCCTCTCCATTCCCCAAGCACCAGTTGTCCAGACAGGTGTTCGGCCAGCAGTGCCCTCCCGCGCACAACATTTGTCTGAAAGGCTCATGGAGCACTTGGCCAACCAAGACACGGTCAAGATCAGTCATGAAAAGACCACATAAAGATCACCCCACAAAGAGTGTTCTTGCGAGGGCCTCTTGCAGCCATGAATCAAAGACATTAACATTTAGCAGATGCCTTTACTAATATGTGCCCGTGCGCAATCAAAGTCTGGACTTTGCTCCTGGGCAGTGTTACAGATGCCAAAAAAGTCAGTCTTAACTTTTGGGATACTGCATTTCTACCTAGCGCTCCTTGCTGGAATTGCCTCTTGTTGAGTTCTGGGGGTAAGAGTGTTTCCCAGCAGAGATAGAGGGTTGCTGTAAGTCCGCATCAGACCATGTTAATGCTGAACACTGGGGAGGACTCGCGTTAGAGGAAGATACAAATGGCAATGAGGGAAGGGAGACTGCTCAGATTCCTTAGCCTGCCTCTGACCTAAGCCCAGTTAGGGAATGACTGCTGTGATGCTTGGCTGTTATTTGTTCATGGATATTAGGGCTGGTGATCTTTCAATTTATATTCTGTGAACTCAGAAAAAAACAGAAGAATTTGTCCATGGTAAGGTCTCTTACACTCAATTTTAACACTAACAATCACATCAGGAAAAGCACTGCATTGTAACAGCCTAATGGTAGCCCTTTATTCTAAGCACTTGGTGTTACCAGTCAAAAACTACTTTTTGTTTTGTTTTGTTTTGTTCTAAAGTTGTCTTTTATTTAGGGTTTGAATTGTGGGTTTGGTGATTTTTTTTTTTATAACAAGCAAACTTTTTAAGGCATATAAAGTATGTAAGTCAATTTGCAAAAGCAGGTACAGTTTTTTTAATAGAATCTGGCACACTACGTATGTCGTAACTATAGGGTATAAAAAGTCACAATGTTTATTGGTGTTCACATATGTAATATTAGGAGAACTACTTCCATCGTCTTTTCTTTACACTTCTGTAAATGATCCATACCCTGTATGTGTTAATTCTTAAAAGCCTTAAATCCTTCAAATGTTCAGTGTGGGGTGTGTAGTCCAACAGGCTGCCTGTAAACTGTGAGCTCTTTTGTAAGCTGGAAGAATTTAGCTTGTTACTGTTACTTTTTAGGAACCTTTTAATTGAGAGCTGCCAAAGCATTACAATATGCAGTGCCTTAGCATTATATTAGAAGTATCCTTAGCCTCTTAACATAAAGTTTATATCTTGTTTTATTAATTGGTTCCATTTTAAAAATACATGTACTTTTTCCCATAAAAAAGCTCTTTGACTGCTTGGTCTAAACCAACCTTCAATACAGGTCAGTCCCATTATGACGCAGATAAATGTCTATACCAAAAGGAAAGGTTACAGATTCATAGTTTTCCTTGAAAAGTGAATTGTATTAATAATGCTGCCTTTTTAAATTTCATGACCAAAAAAAATTAACTAATTGTGACTTCTGCACTCTAGCATGAAAGTGCCTTTGGTTTGAAATTCCAGCTTAGAAAAGTGCTGCCATAATAATGACAATTTGTAGAGAGACCAAAAATACTTAGTTATCACCGTAATGCCTTTGGTTTATTGGAATAGGTTGAAACTACAGGCCTCCATTCACAAAAGAGCACCATTTCTAGCAATGTAATTTTGCTAATGATGAAACTGCAAAATGCTGGAGAATAATCTACTGTTTGCCATTTCTGACAGCACTGCAAACCAGCAACTGATGTGTTTATGATACACAAATGACAATGATTCACTTTTATACTCTCTTCATCCACTTGAGCATCTGCATAATGTGACATCCACATACTGCAGATTTTCAGACAGTGGACAAGTGCAACCTTATTGTTGTCCTCTAATAATATTTCAGTATCTGTGATTATTTGTTGTTTAGATAAAGCTTTGTTTACAAAGTTGTGAATGCTCAAATTTGGATACATAAAAATTAAGGTGAAAACAGAGAACATATGATAATAAGGATAAATGGAATTGTGTGTTTTTAATAAGTACTGAAATGTTAAGTGTGAGCATTGTGGATGAAGGTGCTGTTGGAGAAACTCTGGTCAGCACTATTCAAAACAGGGTTGTTTTGTTTTGGTTTTCTCCCAGGTGATATCTTGGTAGAAGAAAGTTAGCTCCTCCTAAAAATGTATCTGTATTTGAAACCTTCTGTGAACGGGGGCCATACTCAACATTCAACTAAAAATGATGGGAAGGGGAGCAAGATTTTAAGAAAAATATTTTAGAAAGAACAAATATCAGCAAAACCAAAAGCTGTCAGAGGGATTATATAGTTGTGAATACGATTTTAACTTGATTTTTAAAATATTTGATGAAAACTAAGATTAACTTTTTATATAGAGAAATATTGTGACACTGTGTGGTAAATATTGTGATAATTCAAGTTCCCTGTCTCTAAAATATTATTTTTGTTATTCCTTCAAGGTCTAAATCTCACTTACCTCTTATCACACAAGTAATCCTGTTGAACTCAATGAGATCGAGGTAGGGCAAAGACAATTTCGCCCCACAAGTAGAGCATGTATTTTAAATTAATAGGAGATATTTCAACTGTCCTAGTCAATATTTGTGATAAACCATACTTCTGTCTCACAAAAATAAATATTAAAATAAGTATAATGGTACCACTTGGGGCTGTTAAAAATTGCTACTAACAAATGTATTTTTAGTTACTTGAATTCCAAAATCATTTATATAGGTACTGCACCACTATTTTGAAGGAATTGCAGATATAATGCTTGTTTCTTACTTTCCCTTCCTACTGCAGCTACAGCTTATTAAGTCTGGCAGTAGCTTCTTCCATTAAACCTCCACGGTATAGGTTTTTTTTTTAATAATGAAGGGTGTACATTAATGTTGAATGTAAGTAACTGGCCAGTTCAAGGCGGGTACAACATTTGACGTGCTAAGCCGTGTCTATTTATTTTTCCACTGCAACTCCTTGGGCATACTTGCTTTCTGAAGCAGTCCCCTTATAGTTTCCCTGGATTCTTCATACCAAGAAATGTTTTGTCTACTCCTTACTTGACCCATACCAATACACGTAGCACCCAGCCACAGAGCACGTTATGAGTCCTGTTTTGTACCTTTCTCAGGATAATCTCTCCCCCTGCCCTCCCATTTCTGACTTTCATAACAAGACATTTAGCACCCTGAAAAAAAGATTGAGGCTGGATAATTACAAAGTACAAAGTGTTCACTTTGTCTTCAAGTCTTCATCTTTTACCTTTTCAAGTCAACCTTGCTAGGATCATGTAATTAGTTTTAGTGTGTAAATTAAATCTTAAATGCACTCAGTTGACAAAAAGGAGATGGATCCCTGTTACCTCCTTACAAAATATGTGTTATGTTTTTTGTTTTGTTTTGTTTTATGGGCCTCTGATTCAGGCTCATGACTGCAGACAAAAAATACAATATGTGCCTGAAAAAAAAAGACAAAAGAATTTTATAACATTAAAAACCTGAATAGCCTTTAATTCTTCAGTAAATTTTATGTAAAACAGGTTGGGTTTTGTTTTGTTTGGGGTTTTTTTGCCATGTGCATTTGTTCACATTTGTAAATGACTTAATGGAATTCTCACTTTATGTTTATTTGTGTAATGTGTATAAAATGGGTTTGTGACTTAAGCATATTCATATATGGTCAGTGGTTACTTTAATATTGTACTGCTGCTGGTAACTTTTGATGTAGAACTTGCCTTTTGATGATAAAGTACCTCTAGGTTAGACAGGGAGGGAAGGCTCTTTGGAAAAAAAAAAAAAAGTGAATGTTCTCCAATTTTTTCTTAACATATTTGCAGAAGCTTTCAAAAGGAGTTTCAGTCAAACCTCTTGGCAGTACAGTATTCTTGTATTTGTTATTGTCTGTGTGTAGGTACTGGTACCTTTTTTGTTTAAAATGTTTTAAGTGTTGGCTTTAAAGTGAATTTATCTTTAGTATGATAGTAATATGAAAATTATAGGTTTTGTGTGCAGAGAATTTTTTTATAAAGTGCTTTGTAAAAAAAAAAATGTATTCTAGCTTTCGCGGTACATATGTGTGATAACTTTAATATCCATGACAGTTAAGTGCAATTATTTCATCACTCTAAAAATGCTATTTTTGTGTCGGTTACTGCAGGTGTTTTCATGTCTTTGCAAAGTGACACATTTTGATGCCTTCTTGATAAAGTGGTAGAATTTTTGTAGCTTTCTAGAAACTTTGTATTCATACAGTATCGATTGAAAAATAAAGAAAACGAAAGTGTTTTGTGCATTTATCTTAAACTCCTACATCAGTCTCTCTAATGCTGGCTACAACTTTCCACAAATATTTTCCAAAATACCACAAGGCCAGATTTACCAAAGTATCTGGCTACCTAAAGATGCTGGAGGACATGTAGCAACATTTACAGAAACCTGTAGCGACAGC